GGAGATAAGTTAAAAAAGCATCTTCACCAGCCCAGAAACATTTGCTGCTGATTAGAGAGAGTTGTATCCCTATATTACATCAAAGTCTTGAAATGGAAAAAATGCTAAAACAAAGCTTTAGATTGTTTACAGACTGATGACCCCATTACGGCAGGTGAAACACCGCTTCCTTCCTCTCACTTGAAGGCAACCCTCTCCATCACCTCATCTCCCAAGATAAAGAACAGCGGACGTTCACTTTAAAAATGGCAGATAAAATTCAGATTTTAATCTTAATTAAAATTTTTAAATCTTTAAAACATACCCATAAAAGTAAATACATAAAGAGGGAGATTAACAATTTGGCCGCAACATCATGACATTACATGAAATTTTAGTCAAAGAACTTGCTTCTTGACTGCAGTGAACTGCCAAGCCAACACACTAAGCACCCCCTAAAAGTAGCACAGAAGCAAAGAAAAGCCAATACACTGAAGGAAAAAATTTACACACAAAAATGCAATATGCAAACCTGTTTCTAAGCTCTAACCCTCCACGGAAATGATCTCACTTTCTAATAACAACACACTGTACTAAACTGAAGCCTGGTGAGACCCCTATTCCTGGTATGGGTGACTCATAGACCCGCTATCCCTGGGAAAAGCACCTGAAAAACAGAGCACATAAAGGTAGACGGTAAGTTCCACGTTAAGTAATTAATTAGGGAAGGTAAAGCATCCATTAAACAGACCTTAATCACACAGTAGTGCTCTGCAAAACAAGGTTCATGAAACCAAATCATCCTACAGGCAACTATTCTTCCACGCTCCAATTCTGGCCCAGCCAAAAATATTTTCTTACATTCTGTGAAGTCATTTGGTGAAAGAGACGTCAAGTATTTTCCATCTTGATAGGAAAGGCAACATACATAGAAATTTACCACCTTAATGTCAAGAGAAACTAATTTTTCTTAAATAAGCACTGTGCTTTTGTTCGCGCGAGTCAAATAATTTTACATTAAAAAAAAGCACATGAAGAGACAGGCTTCATGGTTTAATGCAATCAGTTTTGACAACATACTTCACCAATATCTTTTCTTAGAAATGTGGCCCAAATCAAATTCTTAGACCCTAACCTTTATGTCACATGACCACATGAAATACAATTTAAGTAGCAAATATGATTAAGGGAACAAACTGTAACCCCGAAAGATCTGCAGAAAAAACTGAGATGATGTATGTTTATACACACTGACAAGTTTGCCAAGAGATCAAAACTAAAAAAGAATAAATACCTTTCTCCAAAGCTTTTACTTATGAATGATTTCCATGCAAGCCACATGCCTAGCAGGTATTAAAGAGCAGACTCTGCTCCTGGAGTATTTCAAGCAAAACAAGCTTACTGAAAAAAAAATAAAATCCTTCCTCAGTAAATATTTCTTTTGAAGTATAGTACGTTGGAATAAATAACTTAGATGAATGAGAGTGCCTTTTAATACCTTAACTTCATAAAATATTTAGACACATATTCTAATCTTGAAAAAGGACCCAAAAATTTAGACATAGTAAAATCACAGGCATCTTTTCAAAAAAAAATATATAAATATATATATATATATTTACCACTACAGACTCTGAAAGTTCAATAAAAATCTGGAAAAATAATACACTACCCTGTTTTAAACAATTATAAAAGCTAAATTCATATTTAAAATATACTTTTCAGTTTGTCCACAACCGGGACTTCTACTGCTTTACCAAATACAATTAAGGTTTAGGTCAACAGTGGGGGATTACTCTGCCTAAAAAATTTGTGAAACAGAACTCCAATTTCAGTATGTCCCAAAAGCTTACTGCTAATAAATATCTAGGATGGATTACATTAGAAACAATTCTCTCAGGAATTTTAACCTGACACCAAGGTTTTGATTGCCCACATCTCCACACCTCATGGAGAGATAAGTGACTTTCGGTACAAGCCTACTTATTAATTAGATGCTGTTCAATTTTACTATTTCAAAATCTCTCCCCATACTTTTTGTCCCTCTCCCCTTCATACCTTTGCATCTCACCAACCTGCAAGAAACCGATAAAAGGTATCCCCCATGTTAAACACACTATCTTTGATTCAGTATGGATTGGGGAGTTTTTAAATTTAGATTTCAAATTCAAAACATATGTCACAATTTTCCTTGACCCCCATATTAGGCTCATAATCGCTAAAAGTTAATCAATCATCTCTGTTTCTATTTTATTCCCTCTCTTCTTATAAACCTATCAGCAGGAGATAAATTATCTGCAGACAAATAGAGCTAGGAAAAAAGCTTGCTTGGTTCAATCTAGGAACACCAGTAAACAACCCTGAGAGGACCAGGAAAATCAAGAACCACTCACATGTCCCCTATGCTGAATTTGCATGTAAATTCTGCAGGACAAAGTTCTTGCATGCTCTTTCATGATTCAACTTAATTCATCCCCATGCTTTCTGAAATGTTTTTATTTAAAATTCTGAACAGAGACCTAGACAAACAATTCAAAACACGCTGAACTTTATTTCAGTTAACCTGAGTATATACCAGTAAACTGAAATTCTGAGCACCTACCTAATATCTCCTACTAGGAATAGGTGCCTGAGCAGTGCAGGCAAAATGTCTTCTCACAGAAGCAACGTACCTGAGGAGCTCTGTATAATTTCTCTTCAGTAAGATTTTTTTTCTTGCAAACGCTCTCACCCACAACTCACTGTTTGCAGAATACACTCAAGCTGATTTAAGTTGGAGGGCACAGATTTACCAACGTTTTAATGGAATCATTTCCTTAGTTTAGCAAGTTAAGCTATTTAAAAAAAAACAATCTGCAAGTGGTTTTTGAGGGATTCACCTGGCACATGGGAAATTTACAAGAAGGGAA